GCACTGGAGGAGGAGACGGCAGCCAGGGCCAGCCTGGAAGGGCAGCTGAGGGTGCAGCGGGAGGAGACAGGTGAGGAGAGAGAAGCCCCCAGCCCCCAGCCCCTACGCCCAGGGCACCCTCCCTGCAGGGGACCACAAAGGCCCGGGCATGGGCAACAGGAGGGGAGAGAGGAGGCGGTGTGAGCACTAGCCTTGACCTCTCTTCTCTCCTTCCACACAGAGGTGCTGGAGGGTGAGTATGGACCGGCACTGCCTGGGGGATGGGGTTGGCCAGGGGAAGAGAGAGGGTGTGACGCTTTGCCCTACACCTGGCTTCCCAGCCTCCCTGTGCAGCCTGAGGACGGAGATGGAGCGGATCCAGCAGGAACAGAGCAAGGTGAGGCAGAACTCGGGGGCTGGCATGATGAGGGACAAGATGTGAAGACCCCCACCCCCACCCCCTCCCCCGGCCTTTTTGTCTTCCTCAGGTCAAGTGGCAGGAAGCCCCAGGGCAACTGCCAGGCTCCAGCCAGACAGAGGAGGTCAGAGTCAGGGGTGGTGCAGAGGGGGCACCATGTCGGGACCTCCCGTGCTTTGGCTCCACAGCCTCCCGCCTGGCCCATGCTGAGCCAATCCAGCTCAGTGTCCTGTCCCCGCAGGCCCGACTCCCAGACCTCCTCTCAGAACAGAGGGCCAAAGTGCTGCGGCTGCAGGCTGAGCTGGAGACCAGCGAACAGGTGCAGAGGGATTTCGTCCGACTGTCCCAGGCTCTGCAGGTATGGCGTGTCCCCGCCCCACCAGGCTGGCTGACTCCAGGTGACCTGCCTGGGTCTCACAAGGACAGTTCCCCAGTTGAGGGAGTCCCTTCCTCCTCCTTGGGCTGGTCCTACCCCCTGAGCTTTTTTTTTTTTTTTTTTTTTTGAGTTGGAGTCTCACTCTGTCACCCAGATGGGAGTGCAAGTTAAAATAATAAACAATGAGAAAACATTTAGGGCCTAAATCCAGTTTACCTGTGTTTTTTTCTTTCCTGGAACACATATTTTCACACTTTTTCCTTTTATCAGAAGAGGTGTTGTTTCAATGTACTTCATGATTGCAGTAATTGCCTCTTTAAATTCCATTTCCAAGTAAGCCTAAAATGAAATTTAATCTTTTTTTAGTCAAAAATCTACCCAAAAAGTCCTGCATTTTAAAACGGACTTAATACTTTCTTACAGAACATAAAAGTGAAATTACCACAAGTACTGATTGCTTTTGTCTCTTTATTTTGCTA